ATGTGAAATGATTCGATTTCGAAATGAAAGAACATTGAATGGGTGAACGAATGAATGCATTTGAAAGTGATGTAATGAGTCGTCTATGGCAAATTACTTTTGTGGGGACTTTAAAAATTAATTAAAATTAAAGATTTAGGAGTTATTGTGGGATCTTCAATTTCGGAAGGAATTTTAAAGTTTGAAGACTTTTTATAGGGGTATTCTATAGATAAGCTTGGAATATATTTTATGCTGAGAAATAACTTCTCGTTGATGAACAGATTTTGAAAGGATATATTTTAAGAGAAATCACTCAAGGGGGAAACACTCCAAAGGGTTTCTCTATACAAAAAAATTTCTTATAGAAGGCCAAAAGGACTTCCAAAGGATATTCTTAAAGAAGGTATTCTTTTAGAAGAACAAAATTCTTTCTGTGAGAAGACTGAAGGGACTCCTTATAGATGACTAAAAGTTCTTTTGGAAGACCAAACTGACTTCCAAAGGATCTTCTTATGGAGCACTAAAATGTCTTATTTTAGAAGGCCAAAAATACTTTCTAAGGATCTCATAAAAGGTATTCTTTTAGAAGACCAAAAGTCCTCCAAATTTTCTGTTAGAAGACCAAAGGTCTTTCAAAGGATCTTCTTATAGAAGACCAAAAGGCCTTCATTTAGAATACCAAGAGTTATTCTTATAGAACACCAAAATGTCTTTTTATAGAAGGCCAAACGGTATTTTTAAAGAATACCAAAAGGTCTTCTTATAGAAGAACAAATGGTATTCTTATAGAAGAACAAAAGTTTTCTTATAGAAGACTAAAAGGGCTTCTTATAGAAAACGCCTTGTATTGGTCTTTGAAAAAAATTGAAAAAAAAAATCTTTTAAAAATGCACGACTTGTATTGGTCCTGCAAAACATTCTTTTAAATATGGACGCGTTGTATTGGTCCTGCAAAATATTATTTTAAATATGGACGCGTTGTATTGGTCCTGCAAAACATTCTTTTAAATATGGACGCCTTGTATTGGTCCTGCAAAACATTCTTTTAAATATGGACGCCTTGTATTGGCGCTGAAAAAATATTATTTAAAAAATCCACGCCTTGTATTGGCCCCGAAAAATATTATTTAAAAAATCCACGCCTTGTATTGTAAATATTCTCTATAAAATCCATGCCTTTTATTGGTTTTGAAAAAAACATTCTATAAAAAATCCACGCCTTGTATTGTAAATATTCTTTAAAAAATCCACGCCTTGTATTGTAAATATTCTTTAAAAAAGCCACGACTTGTATTGGTCCTGAGAATAATATTCTCTAAAAAATCCACGCCTTGTATTGGTCCTTGAAAAAAATATTCTTTAAAAATCCATGCCTTTTATTGGTCCTGAAAAAACATTCTATAAAAAAGCCACGACTTGTATTGGTCCTGAAAGAAACATTCTATAAAAAAGCCACGTCTTGTGTTGGTCCTGAAAATGTTTTCTTTAAAAAATCCACGCCTTGTATTGGTCCTGAAAAAAATTTCTTTAAAATATCCACGCCTTTTATTGGTCCAGAAAAAAAATTTCTATAAAAAACTACGCCTTGTATTGGTCCTGAAAATTTTTTCCTTAAAATATCCACGCCTTGTATAGCCCCTGAAAAAATATTCTTTAAAATATCCACGCCTTGTATTGATCTTGAAAAAATATTCTTTAAAAAAATCCAAGCCTTGGGTGGTCTTAAAAAATATTTATTAGAATATCCACACCTTCTATTGGTCGTTGGAAATTTCAAATAATATTAAACCGAACCACATCAATTATAGGTCCTTGAAAAGCTATTCTTAAAAAACCCTCATTTAAAGATCACGAAGAAAAATATTCCTAGATTTTAAGGCAATTTAGAAGAGCCTCTGAATCTTCTACAGATAGTATGCCCTTTAATTGTGATCTACAGAATTAATACCTTCATAAAATTATAAATGAAATATTATCACACCAAAAACAAAACCTCCTTTTTGATTACCCCCAATAAACTCATTACCTGGCTCATTTGTAAAATTAGTATCTGTTTAAGGTAAATTAAATGTTATTTCACAATTATAACATCTCCTCCTTGTCTAAACAGATAATAGTGCTTTGGTCCTTTTGGCATAAAGTCTCTTATAGCCTTTGCCAACGTTCTAAAAGGATTCACTTGAATCTCTACGCTCTTTATAATGCACACATCAAAAGATCATAAAAGCTTGCATATACAAACACCAGCATCGTGCAAATGCTGACATGCATCAAGAGCTTTTATTCATATCATCAGTCTAGTTGTATACAACAGCAGCAGCACGGTAACTATTCTTTATGTATTCATTTAGCCAACTAGTCAGCCAGCCAGCCATCCAGTCAGTCACTCATTCATTTAGAAGTCCCATCATCAGCATCATGCTGGATTTGAAGAGACTCCTTTTTTGTTTTTATTTTTTGAAAACAGTACCTTTGCACTTTTCTTGTCTATCCACCCACCCTCTACAAAACACAAAAATCCTCAATCCTCCCTCTATAAAAAAAATCCTCAACTTTTGGTACCTCTCTACCACATTGGCTTTCACAGAGTTGTTTTTTTTTATATTTTTGGTCAGACAAACTTTGTGTTTTTTGTTTTGTTCTCATGGTGTGGGGCTTCGTCGTCCTTTGTTATGTGCGTTTTATTTGAAGAAGTCCGTTAAGGCCAGGGGAAGCATATGATTTTTGCACCTCACCTGTTTTCCCCTCTCAGTTTTGTTTTAAGTGCAATAACATCCTTTCTCCTTACTTTAGTTGAATGGGGCGCATAATACTTTGTTTGTGCTGAAAAAAGTTTTTTGCATGTTTCACAAAAATGTTGCGTTTTTTGCCAAGAATAACTTTAAACATTAGATCTAAATACATTATATTTTACACTTTATGTTGTTGTTTTCCTTTTTTGTTTGTAAAAAGTTGTTGAAAGTGTAATTTAGAAGATAATGCAGGTATTTTAGATGGGAATACAGTCAGTTAACGACATCGTTTTAAATGGCATATCCAAAAATTCCACAAAATTTTCCATCCTTTATTTGATATCGCTTATAATAACTAAGCGACAATTATTTTCGCTGGTTCCTTGACCATCATTATAAGTGATTTCGACTGTATATAATTTTAATTCAGTTTTCAAAATACTTTCAGTGCCCAAAATAATGTTGACTTTTTAAAAAATTTTATATTATAAAAGAAACAGATTAAAACGAATTTGGAAATTTCCCATTATGTACTTGTATTATAAAAGATTCCACCATCTTGTGCTCACTATTTTTATAGAACACAAAAGGTGGTGACTTTTGAAAATTTTTTATATTTTCCCCCATTACATAAAACGCATATGGATAGCCAATATTGCGAAAAAAATACATTTGCATAATCCATTCTTTGCTCTACTACATATATGATAAATTAATAATAAAAGCCAAACATATCCTTGGCATTGTTGATATTTCCTGTCAGCATGGGAATTCATGTTTCCATTCTTCCTCTTTTTTTGTTTAGGGTTGGAAAAAAATAGAAAAATGGGAAAAGAGAGGCGATATAGAGGCATAACTTCTTAAGAAAAGTTAAGTATATAGATTGGTTTTTGCTTTTGTTCCTTCTTTTGGAAGATTACTTACGTTCCATAAGCCGACCTTAAAAAAATTTCCAGGCGGGTCGTTCTTGTACGCATCTCATCTAATTTACCATTTTCCGAGATGTTGTCTTCTACTTGATCTTTTCATCGGATTCATGGCCTTCCCCTTCTGCGTGAACTATCACTTGGCTCGCTTTTATATGCTTTTTGAGCAGGAGCGTCTTCATCCATTCTCACAAGATGGCCTAGCCAACGTAGTCGCTGCAGCTCCATCCGTCTTTCGGAAAATTTTTCTCTCAAACCCCTTAAGGTTTGCCTTGCTTTTGAGTTGCTTGGTCAGACCATTGTAGCATCTGTTGGCCAACACTATCCTTCCCCGAATTTTCAACTGATGCCATTAGTGTTATTTATGTTGGTACCAAGGTATATAAAATCGTTGACTACCTCGAAGCTGCAGTTTCAAGTTCTACAGTTGGTCCGAGCCTACTGGACGTTTTGCGCGTTGACCTTTTCCAGAAGGATGTTAAAAAAGTCACACGACAAACTGTCGCCTTGTCTAAATCCTCGTTCGGTATTAAAGGGCTCCGAGAGGTCCTTTCGAACTTTTACTGCTGATCTTGTGTCAGTACCTCGAAGCTGCAGTTTCAAGTTCTACAGTTGGTCCGAGCCTACTGGACGTTTTGCGCGTTGACCTTTTCCAGAAGGATGTTAAAAAAGTCACACGACAAACTGTCGCCTTGTCTAAATCCTCGTTCGGTATTAAAGGGCTCCGAGAGGTCCTTTCGAACTTTTACTGCTGATCTTGTGTCAGTTAAAGTTATCCTGCAGACATGGCTTTACATGGGGTGTCGAATTCGGCTTTATAGTCGACGAATAGGTGGGTTATGTCGATGTGTTTTTCGTGGGTTTTTCCAGGATTTGGCGCAGAGTGAAGTTCAGGCCTGAAGCCGAATTGTTCACACAGCACACTTGATTAGTACAATTAAAACATATTTTTACATTTCCTTATCGGGGTTTCTATCGATTCTAATACTTTCCATTATAAATTTTCACAAAAATATGTTTTTTTTTTTCTTAGACACAAGTACTGATATACAGGCCTGGACGATGTGTTTTCTTTGGTATTATTCCCCCAACAGAAAATTTTTCTTCTTTGACATAGATACACCTATACTGGTATTTATCACAATACCGTGAACATTTTGTCAAGTATCATTACCATCCAGCCGCCACCATTCCAACACTATATCACATTTAAAACGGCTTAGCCCCACCAAACAAACCACCCAACGATTTTGTGTCAGACTGCCTGTCTATCTCTCTAGAAATGTTGATATGCTTATGTCTCTATCGTTGTGTGTATGTGTTTGGTGTACAAAAACACTTTATACAATATACATAATTAATGTTTCTGCAAGGCAAAACATCGTTATCATCAACATCATCTAGTAGCAACACCAACGACTACGACAACAACAACAGCAGCAGCAGCAAACCAACAAACAGTTACCAAAGCAAAAGCCTTTTTATTATAAAATAAATTACATATTCCAAGAATTCGTTTGCTCTTTGAGTTATTAGTATAGGATGTCATAGCAACAAAAACCGAAATGAATACATAATTATATTTTCAAAAGGATATGTGTATGTACACATCTACTAACATATGCATGTGTGCACCCACACATATACATTACATAACCTTACTTTTACTTTATTTTATCAAATGGAGAATTTCTTAATTGGAATTTGTGTTATGTTTTAATTCTTAAAAGTATATTTGGACTATTTGTAAATGTGTTTTTCTTTGTCTTTTTTCAGGAATATTGTCACCTCCGGGTCCGTTTCTAACGCCCAGTCCATCACCATCGATTTCAGCTAGTCCACGTTTACAACCGTCACCATCGTTATCACCATTTCCTCAAGATGTACTTCTAGTAACGGGTAATCCGTTAACAAATGCCAATGCACATGAACAGGTAAGATGCACATAACAGGACTTTGGGAATCACATTGGTCCCTTTTAACTATATAAACTTGTTTCGAAAAATTCAATTTGAATTTAGAAACATTTTAGATTTTTGATTATCATACCAAACTATTTTTATTTTTTTCTTCTCTCAGGAACGTAAAGCTGTTACACCCGGTCGGCGACAATCCATACATCAATTTACGAATGGTAGTCCAAATGCTGGCACCGTGGTCTTCCAACCCAGTCCATCACAATCGCCTGCCGCCGCAACCAGTGTCATTGGCATAACGGCCAATGCCGCTGGTGGTCTCAATTTAGTGGGTAATTTTCAAAATGTGGCCACAACAACAGCAACAACGACGGGAAACGATTTGAATGCCACGCTGGTCGGTTCCAATAACATACAATTAAATAAGGTACATGAAACTATCCAATAATTTGATTAAAATACTTGAATCACCTTTCCTTTTCATTTTTCTGTATTACAGAAGGGCAACAAACGCCAACAACAACAGCATCAGCAGCAGCAACAACAACAACATCACCAAATATTCAGTTCCTCCAATAGCCACTATACAAACAGTAACGCTACCACCACAACTAACCCACATCCACCGCATCCTTCATCATCGTCGATCGCCGCAGCAGCATCATCTGTTACATCGGCTTCATCGACAACTGCGACTATAGCTGGCGGCTATGGGCAATCACATGCAACAACGATCAACAATACACCGAATACGTTTGCGCCAACAAATGTGGCTTGTACGCCAAAAAATCAAACGAAAAAAGGTGTTAACGCAACAAATCAACAATCGAACAACACAACCGCATCATCGTCGTCTGCAGTTTTGCCCATAAGTCAACAACAACACCAGCAATTTCAACAATACCATAGCGGTAGTCCTCTAATTGCCGATAGTCCCTCACCGAGTCCAAGCGGTACAACAATAACCGCTGCCTCTATTAAACCACCCACACCCCAACCACAGCAACCACCGACAATGCAAATGTTACAGCAACAATTCACAATAGCCAGCAATGGCAATGGTGGTACCGGTCCCCAACAAACATTTCAACTTATTCAGGGTCCTCAGGGACAAATTATTGCTGCGGCCACATCAGCGCCCCAACACCAGCAGCAAGCCAGATTTACGACAACGCCCACGGGGAACTTGACAACGACAACAACGGGAGGTATAACATCGGCGACGATGTTAGGTAATGCAAAAGGCAACAAATTGCCACAACAGATACTGCCAAAACCCCAACAACAACAACAGCAGCAGCAACAAATTTTAATTGATACCCAAAAACATAAACAGGGAAATTCTGCCGGACCCAATCCCACACCTCCACCATCACATCAAACCGTTACCTCCAATGCTACATCATCCAGTAATTTGTCTCAACAGCACCAGCAGCAACAACAAGCATCATTAACACAGATCTCACAATCAGCTCAACCGGGCCAACAACAAATAATCTTACCCTCCGGTGCCACAGCTAGTCTTACAACCACCGCCGGCCAGCAACCGCAACTGCTTTTAAATCAGGTACCTATGTTGGTGCAACAAAATGCACCCCAGGGCGTACAGTTGATATTGAGGCCACCAACACCTCAACTGACCGCCACACCGTCATTGGTCATACAGAATGCCAGGCCTCAACCCCAGCTGCAGCAGCAACAGCCCCAGCAGGTGTTACGAATCTTGGGTCATAATGGTGCTACAATGCAATTGGCGGCAGCAACACCAACTTTTATTGTTTCATCTCAGGCAAATCTCATCCAACAGGCCAACCACTTGCAGGCCATTAAAACTCAGCCTCAGAACTCGGCCATTACACAATTGAGCGGTCTGCATGCAGCCCTTTCAGCAGCGGCTGCGGCTAACCAACAGCCCAGATCTCAACAATTCACCACAACGGCGGCCACTATCAACGGCCATTTGTTGGGTCCATCGATGGCAGCTCAATTACAAAATCTTCAATTGGCGGCTGCAGCAGCGGCCAATGGTAACAGTTTAACTGCTCAAATTCAAATGCCAAATGGTTTGAGTGCCAGTGGGGCGCCCACATTACTCTCCCAGTTGCCTGCAAGTACTGGAACGACTCAGTTTCAGCAGAATTCTGCCCAGGGACTTATAAATCTCAATCAACTTAGCAATGCCAATATACAACAAATTGCGGCCGCTGCTGCAGCGGCGGCAGCAGCTGGCGCAACAACCTTTCAAGCTCCAGGTGCACCACCCTCCAACAATACTGGAGGACAACAGGGGACACAAAACGTCACAGGAAATACAAATGCAAATCAAACAACTACCAATGATCTCTACACAACTAGCCTAACACAATCCTCACCGGCCCATGTGCCAGTTTCAGTGACTCCGGAACCCCTAAGTCGGCAGCCAACACCTGTGTTACAGACTATGCAGCCAGCTCCAAGTCCACAACAACATCAACACCAACAGCAGCATCAACAGACTGTGGGTGGTAATGGTCAAATACATTTGCAATTTAATGCAGCTGCCACAATACAAATGCAGCAACAACAACAGCAGCAGCAACAGCAACAAATTCAACAATTGCAACAACAAATACAACAGACCCAGAACCAAGTTCAGCAGGCGCAACAGCAAGCTCAGGCTTTACAACAACAACAGCAACAGATGCAGCAGCAGCAACAACAACCACCACCGCCTGAAACTAAAAAGAAAGCCAAACCGAGAAGACGAAAACCGCCCGCAACATCAGCTGCAGCTAACGCTAACACAGCAGGCGCAGCCAGTTCGACAGCATCACCCGCCAATGTGAAACCGTTAACTACCACCGCTAATAAGACACTGAATACCGCCACCTCAACTACATCGGTACTGGTGCCAGCCATTAGTACTAGCAACACAACTACAAAAATTGTTCCTATGTTAAGTCAGCAAAATTCGGGTAACTTAACCACCGTTCAAACAACTGCAACAGTTCAACAGCAGCAAATACAACAAAATGTGGTTGATAATCAACAACAACAACATCAGCAGCAACAAAGAACTAAATCTCCTTCACCTCCACCACAAATAACAAGGGCCAGTAATGGTAAATTGGATTTGGGTAATGTTATGAAACTTTGTGGCATAACCGAGGATGATGATGAGGACTTTATGGATACCACACCCATAGAGGAAACCAACCCCTCAAGCTCAAATCAAATGTCAAATCCCTCAACAGATTATACTATATCCATACCACAAGCAAATGTTAGTGGCGGGGATGCACCGCCACCATCATACACACTATCTATACCAGGAGTAACAAATGACCAAATGGATCATTCGGGCACAGAAACCGCAGCTGCTAATATTGTCATTAAAATTGATCCATCTACCGAATTGTTGGGATCTGCTAGCGGAACAACATCTGGACCACCAGGACACCATCCTCCATATTCTATAACTATACCACGTTTGCCGTCTCAGGAGGAGATACAAAAACAGGCTCAACAACATTTGCAACAGGCTCAAAATGAGGCTCAGCAAATCAAAACATCGATGTCCGGGGGACCAACAGCAAATATTACATTTACATTACCATTGGCAACGGCAGGGCCCACTAGTATAGCATTAGGTTCTTCAGTAGCTTCCTCATCTACGGTAACAACTTCAGCCACATCCACAACGAATACGACCACAACAACTGCCACTGTGAAACCACGTCGCAAACCAGCAGCGAAACGAAATACCAAAAAGACAGATAATACAGCTAGCACAGCCACAACGGTACCGGCAAATAATTCCACTGTCACAGTGTCTTCATCTACGACGACCACTTCCTTTGGAAACACTTTGCCAACTAGCAGTGCATCAATAGTAACTTTGCCAAGCAGTCAAAACTCAGTTCAACCTAATATTAATATTACAACGAGTTCAATATCCACACCCCTGCCTACACCCTCACTGGTACCCAGTCAAATTGGAAATATACAAATATCACAGATCGATAATCGTCTGGCAGGCCAACATGGCGCAACAACTATGGTTTCTACAACTCCAATGGGTTCTTTGGTCGAAAATAAAATACAAATTATGCCCATTTTAGATAAATCGGCGGCGACTAGCCATCAGCCACAACAAACACAAATTGTTTTCCAGCCTCCCAGTTTGGTTCAAAATCATCAGGGTATAGGCGGCGCAAATATTTCCGCTCCTCTTACAACGAATCTAAATGAAAACAACCAACAGCCTCGTCAGATGCACTTGGTCTCATTGCCGCAATTGTCAAATTCGTCGGTGGCATCGAATTCTTCTTCAGTTAATCTGAACCTGCAGTCACAACCTACGCTGACAGTGACTCAACCTACATTTAATGCTGCACTAACGTCTCAGGGTTCAACGACGACCAATATGGTGGTAACACCGCAGCCACCAGTACAACAGCAACAACAACAACCCCAGACGCAAACTGCCCCGCCAACAAATTCTGTTCTACCAGGTCTTACAGGAAATGTTTCCATATCAGTGGGTACACCAAATACCATTACTTCGTTAATACCTCAGTTAACTGGTAGCCTGACATTAGCAGTTTCGGAACAATGTGAACGTTTAATATTGCGTCATGATCCCAATAAGCCTCAGGATCAACAATCACAATTGATATTGCAGGCTTTGCTTAAGGGAGCATTGCCAAATGTGACCATTATTAATGAACCACTGAAACCAGTGGAGCCACAACAACAACAACAACAACAGCAGCAACATTCACAGGTAGTTACAAATGTCATACAACAACAGCAGCAGCAGCAACAACAACAATCGGCTACTCCTACCACAGTTTCTACTGGTCCACCCAGTGGTAATGCAAAGGGTTCTAAGAAGAAGCAACAACAACAACAGCAACAACATGTTGCACCTGAAGCATCTAAAACAACTGGTAGTGGTGGTGGGGTTACTAAAGCTCAAGAACCCACTACCAATACAACTACTGCAGTACAACCCCAATCTAATATGAATGTACAAACAAATATCAATAACAATCCTGCTCCTGTTCCACAGCAAGACACTATTTCCCAGCAACGATATTTGTCATTGCCAAAAATCGACCCTACCACCCAACAGCTATTCTGTTTGAATAGTCTGAACAATCAAATAACTCCGATTGGAGCAAATCAGACTACCACTTCCATTGGACCCACAGAACGCATACTTATTGCCCCGGCTGGCATAAATGCACAACAATTGGCCCAGTGTTTGCAACTGGGACAAATACATTTCAATGATGCCAATCCACTACCGCCCTCATCACAAATACTACAAAATAATCCGCCACCAAGTTTGACAAATACTTCCACCACTTTACCGGTACATCCCATGAATAATGCAGGATCAATTCTTAACAATTCCAACACAATGTCTGGACCTCAACAACCACCAAAGCAACAAATTGTATATCCCATGACATCAGGATCATCAACCTGTGCAACAGTCCAGTCTTCTTCGTCCACCATTACCACAACTACGATTACCACCACCACTACTACCACAAAACAGGTGGCAAATGTAGCTCCTATTATAGATCAGTCCAAGGCTGCTAAGCAGGAAAATAAGTTGAATTCTTCGACAACTACTACCACCACAACAACAAGCTCAACGGGTGCTGTACCCAAAAAGAAACCAGTAAGGAAGCCCAAGGCCTCCACAACAACAGCAGCCGATGTGGCTTTAATGAAAAATGCCTCAGTGGTGAAACCTCTGCCCAAGTTAGATCCTCTATCACAAAAACCCCACAACAATCCAGTGCAAATTGTTCAACCGAATACGGCCAGTGGAAAGCCAGTCGTATCGACGTCTACGACAAGTACCACAACCTCCACATCAAATGTGGTAAGCATACAACCCTTTCAGACACAAACATCAACGGGTACAAAATTGGTTGGCATTACCGCGCCGATGCAACAGCAACCACAGTTGCAACAACAACAACAGCAGCAGCAATTACAACAAAACCGAACGCTTACATCGGGTGTGGTACCCACATTACCTCAGCTGAATAATAATTTCTCTATCAACTTTTCATTGGCCTCCTTAACGTCGTCTTCTAGTCAATTAACATCTGGAATCAGTACATATGCCACAGCAAATCATGCAACCAGTATCGCCAATAACACCACCTCATCCACGGGCCTACAAATGTCCCTGCCAACAATACAACCAATTGTATCGACAGGGCAAAATTTGCAGCAGCAGCAGCCTCAACATACGGTTTCACGGGTCCAAACCATACAATTGACCCAACAACAGGAACAAATGTTGCGTCAGGTTCAAATGCAAATTCAATATTTGACAGTTAAAATGCAGCACAAAAATTTGATATCTTCAATGCCGTTACCTGCCGATTTGGATCCAAGTGTGGTGGCTGCCTTCAATAAACCCATGAGTGATATAGAAATCAATCAGTCTCTGCAAAGGTTATTTATGGAACAACATCGAATATTGTCTTCAGGCAAAGAAATATCCACATCAGATCAATTTATCACCAATTCTATACCACCGAACTCCTCTTACAACCTTGGAACATTTAATCTAATGTCCAACACAAACCAGTCACAATCGGCAAGCAATGATAATAAGGGTTTAAGTGGCGGAGGAGGTATACCAGCAAATGTGGTACAGCCTAATAACCATTCGGCCAATACAAGTGGGGTGGGTGGATCAACAACCACCACGCCGGCATTAATGTCACCAGCGGGAAATATGCAACAACAGCAGCAGCAATCGACTCAAAAGATACATATTTATCCCATACAACATCAGCAGCAGCAACAACAACAGGCGTCTGGAAATAATAAAAATTCGAAGACCCAAAAACAAAACCACCAACAAATGCAACAACAGCAGCAACAGCAACAAACAGTCATTCTGAACAATAGCTCCAAAACAAATAACAGTACAACTGTTACAAGTACCACAACAACATCGGTGGCGGGAACTGTGTTGACCAGTGGCAACAACAAATCAAAACAGCAAGTTTGTTCTTCGACCTCCCTTTCAACAGCAGCAGCAACAACAACAACTTCAAATATAACTACCTCGATTGCAACAAATATCATTGGCAGCAATTCCAACTTAAGTTCCATTCCAGGGGGTTCTGTGATCTTACAACAACAACAACAATCTGCCAATCTAACAAGCTCTCTATTAAGTAGCCCTCAATTGCCGCAATTATCATCCCTTTCATCCACTTCCAATTTATCCAGTTTGCCGTTCGCCTCGCTGCCGCAACCTCACATGATTAATATCACAAATATGCCGGCCGTATTGCAACAAAAACATTTCACACAACATTTACAAATGCAACAGCAACAATTGTTGCAGCAGCAAAAAATACAAATTGCCAAAGTGAATACATCATCACCTGCCTTTGCTAGTTTTCATAGTGTCAACACGTCGGGGAGTTTGTCAGCTCACGTGTCGGGTGGAGGACCTCCACCGCTTATATTTCCCTGCAGTTCAACCGTGAGCTCAACAATGACGACAACAATAACCCCACAACTGACATCGTTGTCACAGCAACATCAATTCTCTACTGCCTCATCTTTGGCCTCGAACGCATTTACCATAAACAGCCTAAGTGGTATTGGAACGGGATTAACAAATCAAAAATCCTTCATACTATCAACATCAATGGGAGGTGCACCATCCCTGGTGCCAACTGCAACATTATCCTCTCCCATTGTTTCAGCTACAACTTCAACAACAAATGTTGTTGCTGCCGCTCCCACCTTTGTCATTAACAATCAACAACCCACCATCACCTCCAGTTCTGCGAACAGCTGTAGTACTGCAAATGTTCTGACTACAGTCGGTAGTAGTATGCCAACATCTTTGACCATCTCAATGTCTATGCCATCGATGTCAACAACGACGCCGACATTGTCATTACCTCAACTGGTAATGGCCACAACTGCTGTAACAGTACCGCCACTAATAACAACAGCTACTGCAACAACATCGTTAGTATCTTCAACCACTTCCGCTATGCATCCTATTGCTGCCGCTGGTATTCAGCAACAACAACACCAACAACTGTCTGCCTCTGGATCTTTCACAACTACGGCAACAGCGCCCATTTGCTCAACACTGGCGAATAGCAATAACATAATGATTGCCCATCCGCCAACAACAAATCCAATCATTAACGCTGGTCTAAATATTGTTGGTAATCCCATTAGTCAAATTGCATCGTTTATTAAGACCGAGGATAAGGTCCCATCAAAAGCAAAACTTGCTCGTCTCTCCTTGTGAGTAGTTGGTTGATATTAATCCTTTATTTATTGTCTATAAGAGAATGCAACAGGGGAAACGTAAATGGTATAAGAAATCGGATATATTACGTATTGGTTTGTAGACATATCTGAAATAACCTCAACAATTCTGTGACTAATATAGGGGATTAAAAATTATTTATAAGTATTTCAAATTAGATTTAGATGCGAAAGAGAGTAAAAAACAACATACCTAGTTGTTATACCCTCCACCAATCCATATTCGTCGGATATCCCATAACATGCCATTGTTCCTGATCAGATAGGTTAGGTTACAGAAGATAGGTTAGGTACTCGGAGACGTATTGTCCATTCTGATCATACTAAAGGTCATGATGAAGTAGAGAGCTGAAAAAATAAAAGACAATGGACAAGAAAATATTATGAATTTCCTAGCAAAGCTGTAAATGATTTCGGAATCTATTTTGGGGGAAAAAGGTTAGCGTTTCTATCCCGAATCTGCCAAAATGTTTATACCTTCTGCATCGAAGCATGGGTCATCGACATAGATGTTCTACTTCCTCTTCATCCTCCCATAGATGGCAATAATCCACCTTATTAAACTTCCATTTAAAAAAGAGATCTGATTCGGCCTATAAATGTTTCTGCCAACAATACAACCAATAGTATAGACAGGGCAATATTTGCAGCAGCCTCAACAGCAACAGCTCCAACATACGGTTTTCAAGAACAAGTTTAGCGTATCTATCTAGAAATTCCCAACATGTTTATACCGTTTGCATCGAAGCATGGGGTATAGACAATTTAGATGCTCTACTTCCTCTTCATCCACCCTTCATAGACGGCAATAATCCACCTCATTAATCTCCCATTAAAAAAAGGAGATCTGATTTTGCAGGTCCTATACCTAACAGTCTAAAAATCACCACCTCTAAAATATCACCACATCTAACCAAATGTCGTATATCCCGCAGAGTTAATTTACGCTTTCAGTAATGATCCCGTCCTATTTTAGGAATTTACTCATTTTTTAGTCGCACTTTCCAACCGAGAAAACCGAAATTTGGTGTTCCAGGATCTTAAAGGATAAAAAACATCTATGAATCTCTTGGGGGTTAAAAAACTTTTTCGAAATCTAACCAAATCCGTATATCCCGCAGAGTTAATTTTCAATTATAAACTAGATTTTATGGTCCACGACCTAATTGATCAGAAGTAAATTGTATGTATTCTGTCTGTTGCAATTAGGATAATCCTAGGATGCTATATAGTTGCATTTTTCAACCGAGAAAGCAGAAATTTGATGTTCCAGGATCTTAAAGGATAAAACAATATCTCTGTATCTCTTGAGGTTTAAAAAACTTGTTTATTTTTTGAAAAGTTCACAATATTGACTGGTGAAGAAAGATCCCTTCGAAAAAATATTTGGGTATATAACTTTTATATCGTAAGACAGATATATCGGCTGAGTTTCTATACATATATAAAAATATAACACTATCGAGTCCAAATAACTTTACCTTAATGTGAGATGAACTATGAACACAAAGGGATATCGATATTAAGATTAACTAATTTTCAAAATCTACAGAGAACATAGTATAAAATACTTTTAAAAACAACTGTTTCCATTTTTTATTCATATTAATTTATCATTGTAAATAATTCTTTTTCACAGATTCCTACAACAATTGGAAGCCGATCAGCAAAATTGTGTAAAACCTGATTACAAAAATCCATTCCAAAACAAAGAGGAAGCTGTTAAACGTTTGATAAGGTAAACTAACGTAACCTCAACTATCAACACCCCTACAATTTACTAACATTTATTTTTTTCATTTCAGATATCATTGTATGTACCAGAACGACGAGGATATACCCAGTGAAGAAGAGGAGGAATTTGAGAAGACCGCCATACGCTTTCAGGATAAATTTCGTAAATTATCTGGCAAATTCCAACAAATTCTCTTGCAAGAGTCAATGGTGAGAAGAGTAATTGACAATTGGTTTTTTTTATGCCATCTACAAAAACTTCGAACCCCCGATCCAATTATTAACTAATTTTATTATTTCCTTTACAGTTACAACATCGTACCTCCGAAATATGTCAAATGGAAAAGTTATTGATTGATGATTTGCGCCAAGAAATTGCCGATTCAAAGAAATTGGAACAGGATTTGTTCAAATATGAACAAGAATGCCAAAATCAACAACAACAACAGCCGCGACAACAATCACAACCACAACAATTCGATGTTAAAGAATCCCTCTTCGATCAATTGAAAAATGAAATTAAAACCGAAACTCAAGACTCGAAACCAAATTTAATGGATATGCAATCGAATAATGATAGTAATTCAAATTTCTGTACAAATACCCAAAATGCTACATCATCATTTGATTCCATTAAGAATGAAATAAAAACAGAATCTATGGAAAATTCCTCAATGGCTGGTGGTAAGAGTTCAAATAGTTCTATTGATTCATTTGATTTGTTGAAACAAAGTCCCGTAAATAACAATATGAGTGGTGCTGGTAATATGCAAACGAAAACCAACGATGCGAAAGAGCCAAAGAAGGAAGAATGTTCCAACCAGTGGAGTGGTGAAACACAAACCTATTTAGATTCCAAGAATCAGAATACCTTCTACAGTCAACAACAGCAGCAATCGCAACACCAACAACAAATGCAGCATACACAACAAAAAGTATCAAACAGTGTATTTAATGGTGGTTTGAAAAAATCTACGGCAGCGACATCATCTTCTATGGTTCAAAACAGCGAAGAGAAAGCGAAGGATAGTTTTGAAAATTTCGATATCGAATCGGAGATAACACCAACATTTATAATGAAAAAAGTCGAACACAAGGAACTGCCGCCGCAACCACACATCAATATTACTTCAGCGGGTGTAACTGGTTCCAGTAACACTACTATTTCCGCAATTACCTCTTCCTCAAATACTACCACTACACCGGCTGTAAACTCTTTAGCGTCGAACAAGAATAAATCAAAAATTCAGAAATTTAATCATGTTGTGGAAACTACACCCCAGCCAACAGATTCCATGCAACCGACGCAATCAAGCGGACATCAACATCAGCAGCTCCAGCAGCCGCAACAACACCCTATTCAGAATTCATCATCTAACCTCAATGCCGACAGCATACTCTCCAATAATTTTGATTTCTCCCATCTGCAAACCAATCATGCTGTAAATAAACAACAAGAAGACGATTGGTTGTGTATTCAAAAGGAATTGAATTTAATTAATACCGCCTCCAGCACCAACACCACCACCACCACTAATGACAATATCAATCATGATCAAAAACATGATAACGATAATAATCAAAATAAATCATTGGATTTTCTTGCTCAGGAATCATCACAAGGTATCTTTCAACAACAACAGCAACCGCATCAAACACAAGTTACCACCAATACTACAACAAATTGCAATGTTCCTTCTGTATTAGCCAATGCTAACAATACAACCACCACGCCCACAACTAGTAGTTGCAGTCAACAAAATCAACAACCTGCCGAACTCTCACTTAATAATCATGGCGAAGAAAGTCATCAAGCCGATTTGAATGAATTCTTTAGTGGCTCAGAAGACAGTGAGGTGCATAAGGCTGTTGAAACTCGTTTGGAGTCTATGTTTGGTGAATCACCAGTTCATTTGTCTGGTTCCAAAGATCATACAGACTCACCGTATAATTTGGAAATTATGGGTTATGGCGAATCTGCAAAATCCTCAACGGCCAAATTGTTTGGAGATTCTCCGGTGCATTTGGGGGGAACTGGTGCGCAAAAGGATCGCATTGATTCACCCTATAATATGTCTATGTTGTTTGGTGAAGCTGTTAAATCCCCAGCCAGCGGCGCTGCCGTTAACAAGACAACTGGTAAATCAACTTGGGAATCTGATTTTACAGATAATTCATTTCTCTCTACGGGACAAGCTGTTGCTTCGAGTTTTGCCAATAATACACCAAATAACATGACACATCACATTCAGTTAGGTTCTGCCAATAATCCACGATGGATGCAAAATATGGAGGCACAATTTCCAGTTTTCTCGAACACCAACAACACCAATTCGTCGATGGGTGATTGTTTGGGTAATAGGAAACGTCAGTGGAATGGCCATATGGTTGATGAAACCAATACACCACACCAGCAACAACAGCAGCAGCAACATTGTGAAAGTAGTCCACAAAAGAAGATATGCGGTAATATCAACGATTCACCTACCTCAGCCCATTCACCATTAAATTCACATCAGCAGCAACAAAAGCAAGATTCGTCCCAGCAGCAACATCATCATAATTTAGTACCCAATGATACCGCACATGCTCAAGATCTTATGGATGCTGCATTATTATCGCTACACGATGGTTTGGGTGTGGATAATGCAACTCCTGCCAACCAAACCAATGGCTATAATCACCATATGATAATGACCCCAACTGGATTTGATAATTTCAATCACATGGATGGCCAGCAGCAGCAACAAAATCTACATCAAAATCATTTTATGAATGTCAATCAAACACAACAGCAGCAACAACAAATGATGATGAATCATCACAGCAACACTGGTGGTGGTCACCAGCATAACCAACATCATCAACAACAAAACACTGCGGCGACTTCTGGAGGAGGAGGAGAATATGATGATGATATCACCAGACATGTTCAAAATGCCATAGAAAGCATATTAAATTTACAATCATCTGAAGCTGATTCCTTATCATTTTCCCTAGATCATTCAATGGGCGTTCTATTGGGTAATTCAATGATGCAAGATCAACCAGCGACAAATAATGCGGGACATGATGCTAATAAACGTCAACAGTTGGTTGATGAGCTGGGTGATTGTATAATGGGCGGTGGTAGTGGAGCCGGAGGTAGTAATTCTTCCACCGATGCAGTCAATCTGACCGACAACCACTTAATAATGAATCATAATCCGCATTCACATCACACACAATTGATGCAACAGCAGCAACATCCTTTGAGTGGAGCCGGTAATCACCAACAACATTCACAACATCATCAACATTTGGTTTCAGCCACAACAGCTGGCAATCCGAATCAGCAACAGACGCAATTAAATGATTTTAATTGTGTGATCGGTGGTAATAGTAATATAAGTTCGTGACAGCAGCCACAACACCAACAAACGACGGCAGCTTCATCAGTAGTAACAGCTTTATCTAGTACAACTATGCAAAATCATCAAATGCAATCCTCGGCGCATATTAATAATATACATCAGCATAATCTGCAGCAGCATCAGTCACATCAAACAGGTGGTGGTGGCGTCAGCGGCATCATTGCCCATTCTTCGGTCAATGGTAATAGTAACATCAGCAACAACAATAATACTACACATCTCACAACCAATGGTCATGGCAATAGCAATAGTTTAATTTTAGAATTTAATACAGCAGCATTATGAGATCTTTTACATGTTATACCACCATTGGCAGTTTAATTTTGTTTAACACAAAAACAACAACAGCTACAACAATAAAAAGGTAAATATATATACACACACATATATGTATGTTGAGCATATTGCAAGAATAATGCTTTAAATGAAATACATCCCCCCTCAATGTGAAAACGACGATGCTTTAAATTGGGTTTCCTTGTATTTCGGTATTCGAACTGACTTTTTACTATCTCATCGCGCTCTGTATGGTCCTGGGATCATTGGAACATATTTTAAATGTACTTATTTTTTTATAATTTATATATAGTTTTATTTTTTAATATTTAAGCAGTTAAAGTTTATTTTGTTTTCAGGAATTATTCTTGATCATTTGTAGTTGTAAATTTTGGTATTTAAGAATTGAATGCGGGGAAAATTCTATGATGAATTAAAACTGTTTATTCCTTGATGGTATATCCAGTAATCTAAAACAAAAAAAGGTTATTGTGATTTTCTATAACAATTACAAAAAATCCCAGTGATAGTTAATCCCCATATTTTTGTATATGATTCTGTATAATTTCTTCAACTTAAATTGTTACAAATCGTATAAAAGGATTAACCGATGAAATAAAAATGTTGCGGATCAGTCCCATAAATTATTATCACACATGCTATAAAATATTGAAAAAAAAACAATTGTATATTTATATATTTGATCAACGTTAAGGTCACGAATGAGGCTTAATTCTGCCATGTGTTTTCAGCTATGAATATAGTGAATATTTCAATTAAAAAATGTCTTCGGTTGTCAAAATCTAACCGCAATTTCTATTTTGAATACAAATCAGAATAGGTTAAAATAGACAAAGTTAAAAAAAGCCCAGATAAATTTATTATCAAGAACTTTTGAAATGCTATTATCAAGAAAGAAAAGGTAATGGCGATAGAAAAATGGGCAGTTGGTTAAATATGTCAATTCCAACAGGTCAATTTCCTAGCAAAGCTGTAAATGATTTTGGGATCTATTTTTGAGAAAAAGTATTTATACCTTCCGCATCGACAAAGTCGATGTTTTACTTCCTCTTCATCCTTCCAAAGGCAGCAATAATCCACCTCATTAATTTCGCATTAAAAAAGAGATCTGATTCTGCAGTGACCTTTCTCGCCAGATAGATTTCGAGGATTTTTCCTCGTAAAACATTCAGATTTTGCCAACAAAGTAGCAGAGTGGATGTCTAACTGTTTAAAGGCTCCTCAGTTACTTCATTTCCATTAATATCACTATGACCTGGTACCTGGTACCTAAAGTTTATAGATCACGACCTGATTAATATGAAGTACATTCTATGTATTCTGTCGGTTGCAATTAGAATGATCTTAGGATGCTAGGTTTGTATATCTCTCACATAACTGTTCCGGTCTATTATTTTTTATTTTGTTTGACATTTTGGGTTCTTGAGAGGATGAAAAACATCTGTGTAGAAATGTTCAATAGCGACCAGTGTAGCAATGTAGCACATGCAATAATTCCGTCCTATTTTAGGAAATATGGAATTTTTTTAGTCCCACTTTCCAACCGAAAGGGCCGAAAAATGGTGTTTCAGAATCTTGAAGGATAACAAAACATCTATGTATCTCTTGTAGGATAAAAAATAATATTCGAAGAATATAGCTCCCATATAGATGTCATGCGCAATTTTTAGAATAAAAAAACCTTTAAAACAGATATTCAAATATATCTATAAGATGTTTAAATCTATTTAATTGTAGAACAATATCTATATACATATTCAAAATCAAGGGAATTCGTATTATTCTTTTAATAAAATTATATTTTTTATAAGAATCCAATAATATTGTTTAATAATAAAAAAATTGATTTCAAATGGCAATTCCGTTCCATGTAATAAAATTTTTAAATTTCTAATGGTATCTTCAAAATGTTTAAATCAAGAAATTCCCAAAGGTAATAAAATCTTTTTTAAAACTCAAATTTAAACAATTTGATGGAATATCTCAAGAGTCATATATATTTTCATAGATAAGCATGGCAATAACCTTTTTAATTTTCTAATGTTATCTTCAAAATTTCGAAATCAAGGAATTCCAAAAGATAATAAAATCTTTTTTAAATTTCAAATTTAAAACTTCTCAAAAAGACATACACATTTTCAAAAACAATGTAGATTATAGCTTTAACTGCCTAAATTTTAAAAATCATAAAATAAAAGACCGAAAAGATGACCGATTGACCCATAGCCACTATGACACTGAACCCGGCTTTGACATTTACAATACTATATAAATGGCACGCATTTAATTTCTATACTTATCAACTAAATTAAATTAATAAAATAAAATATATATGAATTTTAGACCAATTAAAATACAACAAACACAAAATTAAACTATTTTTAGTTTTCATCTTTAAAAAAACAACAAAAACACAACTAATATATAAGACAAATATTAAGAGTAAACAGTAACAAAACAAAAAAATCTTTTGTTGTATATATATAATTTAGCATAATTGTTTTAAACTATTTAAGAACAACATTCTTTAGAACTATAAATTAATTCTTCACATACAATTTAGTTTAGTTTAATTTTCGTTTAAATAATGTTTGTTTATTTATTACAAATAATAATATAAAAAAATAATAAAAACAAAAATAAGCAAATCAACGACACCATAGAAAATACAACAGTATTGTACAACAAAACAAAAGAAAAAAAAGAGAAAACAAACAAAATAAAATAACAACAAAAGACAAATTTCTTTAAAAAATATAAAATAATAAACACATTGGAAATAAAAATCGATTTGAAACTTAAAATTGTCACAAAGATACTTAGTTTTGTGAATTATGTTTAATTTAAAAAAAATTAAAAAAAAAAATATAAAAACTAAAATAATACCTTAAACTAATAATAGTATAAATTATAGTAAATTTTAACAACAACAAAAAAGAGAACGGTGTTGTTTTTAGAACAAATAATAATTATGAATAAAAAAAACAAAACACAATAAATAAAGCAATTTATTTTTAGGCAACAAACAAATTAAGCAAAAAACAACTTCCTCTTTTCCAATTGGTGTTATTTCTTTCTCTATTTATTTTCATATTAAATTTTTAATTATTATTTTTTTAATTATTATTGCTTTGTTTTAATTTTAGAACAAAAACACAAAATTATCTTATTCCTTCCTTTCTCTCGATTAATTAAATTAAAATTAAACAAAACAAAACTATTATGTGGTCGTACATTAAAAAATTTATTTTGTATATATTTATTATTTTAATTTTTAATTTGGACTGTGTTTTTTCGAAAACTTTTATAAATAAATTGTTTTATATTTAAATTGAAAATGAAAAAATGATTTTTTTGTTTTATTTTATTTCTTATAAAAATTTTTACTTTTTTTATTTATTTAAAAGTAAAATTTGAATGAATTAAAGTAGACTGAGTTGAGGTAAGTTCTCGAAATTGCATTAGTCTTACAGTGGTCCAAATTTCCAATTAATTTTACCAATATTAAACTAAATAAAAGGAATAACAAGAAATCTGTAAAGTATTACAAAATTCACTATATTTTTTCTAAGAATTTCGGTAGAACATGTCATTGTAACTATAGAGGGCCTATTCAATTTTTATAAGAAATCATTTTCCTAACCCGGGAATAAACGGAATATGTCATTGAAAGAAGGAACTGAATAGAAAGTCGCGTATAAAGAATCTGCTAAGAATTACAATGTTTTACTGTTGCTATAGTTTTGGTAAAGAAGATATATCTTTCTTATATACGTATATCTATAAAAGTCATTTTGAAATTATTCAAACTGTACAATTATGAAAACCCACTTACAAGGTTTCCTTGAAAAGTGAAAACACCTTTAATCAGCCCAATCGCCAAAATGTGGGAGATGCATTTCTCTCGAGAGAAAAATCCTCCAATCTAGGAAATATAGGAGTAAAATTTTTGGAATCAGAAGGAACTGAATAGAAAGTCGCGTATAAAGAATCTGCTAAGAATTACAATGTTTTACTGTTGCTATAGTTTTGGTAAAGAAGATATATCTTTCTTATATACGTATATCTATAAAAGTCATTTTGAAATTATTCAAACTGTACAATGCCTATGAAAACCCACTTACAAGGTTTCCTTGAAACCAGTGAAAACACCTTATAATCAGCCCAATCGCCAAAATGTGGGAGAAATTCTATTCCCACGGAAAGCATTTCTCTCGAGAGAAAAATCCTCCAATCGTGGAAATATAGGAGTAATTTTTTTGGAATATGGGATCTCTTTTTAATCAACTGTGGGTCTTTTTCATACTTTGTGTACCCTTATTTGTTTGCGATGCTCATTTGATTCTGTTTCTTCACAGGCAGTACTTAAATATTCGTTAAATATTCGCTGCGTCTGCTCATAATCGTCAAGACCAAAAGAATTTACTGCAACACCCTCTATAGACGATTTCATTTCAATAAGATTATATATAGCTTCTTCGGTGCTTGATAATTATTGCTCCCTGTTTGGGCCGCCTCCTGTTCCTGTTTTGTATTTTAAAAAAATTAGTACTAAACCTTTTTCCATTCGGCGATGCCCTTATTTGGTGGTCCTATCGAAATGAGCTCATTTTTTTCAAAACCGGGTAAGACACTCATTGCTCCCTTTATAGAATCCACGTGCAATGTCAGGATGTAATTCCATCACT